ATGTCCAAACCTTTATCCAAACAAATTTATTAATACTGATTAAACTGCTTGTGTATGATTGCGGTTTTAAAACCAATTATTATTATTTTTATTAGTTATTTCCAAATAGCTTCACGAGCCTACCAAACTTGCACGTAAATGTTCATCTTTTACAGCATGCACAGAAGTTTGCAATGCTCGTAAACACTGCTGTTGGCGTAAAAGAGATAATGTATTGAACATTTAAAAACATGATACCATATATGAATTGTAGGGTGATCGAACTGGACCTTACTCGATAATATAATACATTACTGGTGTTACGACATCTTATCGATGGCTGGATAGATCACCATTTTGGTACAAAAACCAATGTAATGAATAACCTTGCTATGGATTCAAATATTTGCATGCTGTTTTCTAGCTGGTATGCTACAGAATGTTTGACTACATTTATAAATAACCAAAATGTCGAAGACAATGCCAATTACGGAAGCAATGATAAGTACTATTTTAATTACTCATTATTATATTATATATTACTGTATTTTATTTGAATTATAATTTATTTTATTTTATTTTATATAATTTTATTTTATATATTTTATTATATATTTTATTTTAATTTGATTAGTTACTAGAAGTTATTTGCATTACTAATAATTATATTGTTATTTCTTACAGATATTGTAACATGTCATGATAAAAACTTTATTGATATATCACTTAGTAATAAATGGAATAGCAATAAAGTTAAAGTATAGGTCTATCGAAAAATTTAGATATTGAACACCCATTCTTTCGAGACCTTCATAGAGCATATGCTGATTATTTAAATTCAAGAGCTGCACTATCTAATAGAAGTTTAGAATTTTATAATTTAATCACTTATACCGTTCTTAAAAATAAGCAAGACTCATATCAGTTAAAACTTAATATTGGTGATATTGTGGTACTATCAGAAGAGACTAAGGGTATTGCATATGCCAAAATTGAATCGATTTTCCGACATCAAGCAAACAAAGCCAATATCATGCATTTTTATTGTTCAACTGGTTTCAATCAACAAATAAGCTCGATCCAGTCTCGAAATGTCCACTTTACAACATTCAGAAGCCTGAAAAATCATGTTGGTTTCGAATTTTTCTGATTAATTTTGTTGATTATGCTTCACGTACGCATTTTGTACACAATTGTACAAATACATGCTCCAATAAGCATGATGAAACTAACTGAAATTACATTTTAAATAAATTTTATTTTAACGCAGTATAAAATCTGCACAAATATGTACAAATTCCGCTGAATATATAAAATGTATCAAGTAATAATTTCAGCTAAGATTATCATTATTTTTTTCTTAGTTACTGTCAAATCATTATCGTCAACAAAATTTTGCTATGAAAAATATTTTGCTATTAAGTTAGGACTAGGATATTGCAAGTAGGTTGGGTTTAAAGGGTTACAAATTGTGCAAAGAAACCCTTTTGTTAATACGCAGAAGGCAGTTTCATAGACATAATTTGAGCTATAGATGATTTTTGGATTAATTTAGTTTCTTTAACTTTTTCGTGTTATGGCTAGTGAAATTTTTTAGACTGGAAATTATAACAACACAGCATGCATGTGACTTAATGCACAGCAAAATGGCCAGCATCAAACATATCGGCACAGCATAGTGGCATTATAGTTAATGTTAGGGTATAGCAGTATAATCTACTTTGTTGAAACTTTAATTTTTATAAAATATAATTATAATATAATTATAATATAATTAATATATATTTTTTATATAATATAAAAATTTATATAATAAATATATAATAAAAAAATTGTCAATATATTTTAACTATATAGTTATTTAATTATTTAATTTTGATTAAATTTAATAAAATAAAAAATATAAATAAAATATAATTATTATAAATTTAAAATATTTTTATTATGTATTAAGTTTAAATATAAAATATTTATTATATAAAAAAATATATAATTAATAGAGAATTCTATTTGTACTCAGTAGGTATAAGATTTAGTATAAGAAAAAAAAATAAAAATTCTTAATATCTTAAAATTTTACTAAAATAATCATATAGAATTAGAATAAAAAAAATTTCAATGATTTTAGATAAGTGATTGTTAAGATATCTTCACTCAAAGTTTAGAAATAAAACTTTGTCACAACTTGATTTAATAATTAGTCTCCTGAACTTTAAGTAAAGATATTTCAACAACCACCTATCTAAAATCTTTGGATTTTTTTTAATTCTGATTCTATATGAATGTATAATTAAATATAAAATTTTTTATCGATTTTAGACATTTTAAACAGTTAATTGTCAGGATATCTTTGTTAAAAGTTTAATGATTTTGTCCAACTGTTCAAGTTATAGATGTTGATAGAATTCAAAAATGAAAATTTTAACAATAAAAATGATTAGTAATTATTGTTATAATTTCCATTTTTGAATTCTACCAACATCTATAGTTCAAGTAAAATTTCGATAACTAGTAAATTATACGTATGCATATGATTAGCCAATCATTGAGATTGGCAATCATATATAAGCAATTATTCTTTTCCTTTCAGACTTTCCTTTCATATTCTTCTTTTCTTTCATACTTTTCTTTCATACTTTCCTTGTCTTTTTTTTTCTTTCGCTCTTTCTTTTTTTTTTTTTCATCCTTCCTTTTTCTTTCGCCCTTGCTTTTTCTTTCACCCTTCCTTTTTCTTTCACCCTTCCTTTTTCTTTCATTCTTCCTTTTTCTTTCATCCTTCCTTTTTCTTTCGCCCTTTCTTTTTCTTTCGCCCTTCCTTTTTCTTTCACCCTTCCTTTTTCTTTTGCCCTTCCTTTTTCTTTCACCCTTCCTTTTTCTTTTACTCTTCCTTTTTCTTTCACCCTTCCTTTTTCTTTTGCCCTTCCTTTTTCTTTCGCCCTTCCTTTTTCTTTCACCCTTCCTTTTTCTTTCGCCCTTCCTTATTCTTTTTCGCACTTCTCTTTTTCTTTAGCCTTTTTTCTCTTCATTTTCTTTTTCTTTCATCCTGTTTTACCTTTTCCTATTTCGTTATTTTGTCATTTTTCTGTTTTGTTGTCTTATTTATTAAAACTTATTTTCTTACCCTTGCTTATAAGTGTAATTTCAGAACTATAGCTTTTAGCGTCATCATTATTGGAGTCGTCGTCTTCGTTATTGGTGCTTCTTGGTTTCAGTCATTGTCATTGTTGTTGCTATGCTTGCAGATATATAAGTTATGTTGTTATTTATTTTTTTTGTTTGATTTTTTTCTTTTTAATTGGTACTACCTTTATATTTCTTTTTCCTCAAGTAATAGTAGCTGGTATGCTTTCTTCATCATTCGTTTAGTGCTTATGCCTTTCATCATTGGTGTCATCGAATTCAGTGGCTCTTATTTCTCCCTGGTATTGTCGAATTTGGTGGCTCTTATTTTGTCGCTAGTGTCATCGAATTTGGTGGCTATTATTTCATCATTGGTGTCGTCAAATTTGGTGGCTCTTATTTCATCGCTGGTGTCGTCGAATTTGGTGGCTCTTATTTCGTCGCTGGTGTGTCGAATTTGGTGACTCTTATTTCGTCGCTGGTATCATCAAATTTGGTGGCTCTTATTTCGTCGCTGGTGTCGTCGAGTTCGTTGGTTATTATTTCGTCTTGGTGTTGTCGAATTTGGTAGTTATCATTTCGTCGTTGGTATCATTGAATTTGGTGGCTCTTATTTCGTTGCTGGTGTCGTCGAATTCAGTCGTTCTATTTCATCATTGGTGTCATGGAGTTTGGTGGTCATTATTTTATCTTGGTGTCATCAAATTCGGTGGTTCTATTTCATCATTGGTGTCGTCGAATTCGGTGGCTCTTATTTCATCCCTGGTGTCGTCGAATTCGTGGCTCTTATTTCATCACTAGTGTCATCGAATTTGACATTATTAGTCGTCATTGGTGTCGTCGAATTCGGTGTTATTATTTCGTCGCTGGTGTCATCATGTTTGGTGGTTATTATTTTATCGCTAGTGTCATTGAATTCGGTCATTCTATTTCATCATTGGTGTCATTAAGTTTGGTGGTCATTATTTTGTCTTGGTGTTATCGAATTCAGTGGTTCTATTTCGTCGTTGGTGTTATCGAATTTGGTGACTCTTATTTCGTCCCTGTTGTCGTCAAATTCAATGGCTCCTATTTTGTCGCTGGTATCGTCGATTTGGGTGGTTATTATTTTGTCATTGATGTCATCAAATTTGGTATCGCTGGTGTCGTCGAATTCGGTAATTCTATTTTGTCACTGATGTCATCGAGTTTGGTGATTCTATTTCATCACTGGTTTCATCAAATTCAGTATCCCTGGTGTCATCGAGTTCGGTAGTTATTATTTCATCTTGGTGCCATCAAATTTGGTGGTTATCATTTCGTCATTGGTGTCATTGAATTAGGTGGCTCTTATTTTGTCACTGGTGTTGTCGAATTTGGTGGTTATCATTTCGTTGTTGGTGTCGTTGAATTTGGTGGTTATCATTTTGTCATTGATGTCTTTGAATTTAGTAGTTCTTATTTTGTCATATTTTATCTTAGTGGCATCAAATTCGGTAGTTTTAGTGTCATCGAATTTAGTGGTTTTATTTTGTTGTAGTTTAGATTTATTTTGTATTATTTTTTGAGTTGTGTTAAATTTTAGTTTAGGATTAGTGTTAAAATAGGATTAAATTTATATATGTATAGGGGTGTGGTGACCTAGTTAAGTGGATAGGTTGTCAACCCCCAAGTGACAGGTCTAGAGTTCAAATCCCAGTGACAGTGAAAATTTGCAATTCTTTCTGTGTTACGGCTAACTGTCTTCCGTGAT